CGCTGCGCGTACCGCTCCGGCTGCTCAAAGACCCCAGCGCCCCGGCGCGGAGCTCACCTTCCATGTCGCCGCGGGCCGCTCGGGCTGCAGCTGTCGCTCAGGCTCCGCGGCCGCTCCACGTGCTTCTTGCCGTGGGGACCCACGCGGATGGCGGGAGATTCCCGGAGCGGGGAGGCCCGGGGATGGCTCGGTCGCGTCGGCGCAGATGCAGTTCGGGAACCGGCCAGCAGCCGGTGCGCGGGGTCACAGCGGCGCTGGCTGGCGGCCGCTTAAAAGCACGCTCGGAGCGCCGCGGGTTCCGCACCCTCAACCCACTTTTGAATGTCAAGCCTGAGGAACCCTGATTGTGGAAACAGTGCCTCAGTGATGGTCTCGGGACGTCTACTTCAGACACACCCGGGATGAGGGCGCTGTCGCAGGAAGAGAGCGGTGTGCGCAAGCACAACTTCCAGATTCACCTGACACGGACCGATCTGGAACTTTTTATCTAGGCTCGGGGATGACAGTCATTGAAAGCTATCAATGAGAACTTACTTCATTAAGTTTATTTATGGAGGTTTCCCCACCCTTGGCTTTTCCATTCCAGTTGGAGTAGCCCACCACTGTAATCCCAGCCTTGAGAGGCTGAGGCAGGAGGATTGTCATGAAGTCCAGGCCAGCCTGGACTACAGTATGAGCCATTTTCTCAGAAAACAAACTTTAAAAGTACTTGGCCTAGATTTATAAAGATAATTCAAAAGTACCTTGGCATTTACAGCACTCCAACTTTTTAACTTGAGAGACCAATTCTCTTATTTTCTGTCCTTTCTGAGAACTGGTTGACTTACCACTGCTTAAAAAGACAACTCTCCATATGTGTATTCATTTCCTAGGAATCTTCTTTCTTCTAAATAGGGCACTTTACAAAAATACACAGATGATGTGTCAGAAGAGTAAAGAGGAGAGCTCTGTGGGGTAGATGAAGGAAAACAAGGGAAGGTGTCGGTTCACAGACAGACATACCAACCAACATCCTTTCCCATCATCTGCACTAACAGAGGAAAACATCTGCCTGGAGGGAGGGGGAGGGAAATGACAACATGACAGTTTTCCCAGCAGTGTTTCAACACATCACACTGAAGTCTGAAGAGACAGTCCTCAGACGGGCACTTCTGAGGATGCTCAAAGGTGTTGAAGGACCGATCCCACTTCCCACTGTCGTTCTTGCTAGAAAATGATACTGTTAGTCATACGAATATATGTGAAGCTGGGCACGGTGGTGAACACCTTCGATCCCAGCATTCAGCATGCTGAGTTTGAGACCAGCTTGGTCTACAGATCAAGTTCTAGAACACCCAGGACTGCATAATAGAGAGGCACTGTCTGAAAAAGACCAACACACACACACACACACACACACACACACACACAAAGCACACATTCACGTGAGATTTAAGGCTGAGGACTTGTACATCAGTCACCCATATTTGAAAAAATTCATACTTATGAGTTAAGCACACTTATATTTTATGAACCTAAGTTCATGTTAACTGGTGCCTTGGTATAGGCAGCGCATATATATACATATATATATATGCATGTGTACATAAACATAGTATGTGTATATAATGCATACATACTATATTTGTGCACATATGCATATATAACATATGAGTGGCTCAAACTGGCTTTAAGATCACAGAGCCACAGCAGCATCGCCACGGACACATGAGTTAGAGTTCTGCAGGAAAACACGGAGTTCAGAGAAATACTCTAAACACTAACGTTTAATTTTAGTACTGAAAGGGGAAATTTGTTGTTTGTTAGTTTCTAAAAGCAAAAATAGCACATCAAAAGTAGCAGAAGAGGAACTGTAAGCTTTCGCAGGGATGATAAGGACGAATAGTTAATCGGTGGTTCTTAAGTTAGAAACTTTGGTGTTACAATAGTCTCTATATGTAACAATAGACCATTACCGTGGGGCACACACTTATTTCCGACTACAGATACTTGAAGGGATAAGTAAAAAGCAGATGCGCACAATCATTTATGTAGCTACTCCACCCTCAGGTAGGTGGAGCATGAATCTCCCCTCTTTAAGTGTAAGGAACACATAGTGACATCCTTCCAAATAGTAAAGTATGAAGAGGGAGGGGTAACCTTATAATGGAGAAACCTGACAAACGCTCCTTCAGCCAGCTGAACACATTTCACATCAAAGTGCTAAAACATAGTATGGTGTATTGGGAATGTCATTTTACAGCTGCTGTCCTCACAGAAATCCATACTACTATACAATAATGAGAAGAAACATCAAGCAAAGTCCAACAGAGAGGCTGTCTACAAAATACTTGACCATTTAAGCCTAAGTCAGGATCAACACAGCAGTCTTAACTATCAAAGACAACAATAACCAAAAGAGAGAAAGAAGAGAAGAAAGAAAAGTCTGAGAAACTGTCAATAACCCAGAGGAGCCTGAGGGGACCAGACAAATGTAATATGGAAGCCTGAATGTGCTCTGGTCAGATAAACTAAGGTGAAAGGAAATATGAATAAAGTATGAACTTTAATAACACTGTATCACAACAGGCATAGAGGCACACATCTTTAATCTTGGGAGCATTGGGAGGTAGAGGCAGGTGGATCTCTGTGAGTTAAAGGCCAGCCTGGTCTACAAAGCAAGTTTCTGGACAGCCAGGTTGTTGTTACACAGAGAAACCCTGTCTCAAAAAGAAATTAAATAAAAAGGAGGACTGCTTGAGGGTGCATCTGTCCCAAATATGAATATGATGAATATACAATTTTATGTTAGAATAGTAACTTGGGAGATTTGTGATTTGTATAAAAATATGTCTCATTTCCTGAATTTCTGACATAAATCAGTCAAAAGTAGATGTCAAGAATCAAGAAAATCAACATAGATTTCACAAGTGCACCCACCTCGTGTAGCTTTCCCATACAATAATATAACAATTAAGTTTTTTTCCTAGTTTTGCTGAGCATCATGCTATACACCTTTAACTCCAGCACTCAGAAGGCAGAGGCAGCAGGCGGACCTCTGTGAGGCCAGTCAAGGGTACACAGAGACCCTGTCTCAAAAATAAATAGAACTTACAAAGTACAAAGCTCACTTTAAAAGAGTCCACACAATACAAACCACTACTCCATTTTTAAAGGTTTTATTTTTTAATTGTGTATATATGAGAGGGATGGGAGTATGTATAGGTGAACGCAAGTGTCCATGGAGTCCAGAAGGCGTCATTGGATCGATCACCTGGAGCTGGAGTTAGCGGCTCTTGCAAGCTGCCCAACAGGGTACTGGAACTAGGGCCCTCTAGAAAAGCAGATAAACTCTTAACCACTGAGCTCTCTCCTGCCCCACTATTCTCTTTTTAAGACTCTTCTCATAGGAGTCAAACTTTAACACATAAAGTCTGTAAGAATCAATTGCAACAGGTGGGAAGTTAATAACACATTGTACATTTGGAAAACGCTTTGATTAAATATGAAATGAGGGGTGTCTCAGCAGTTGAGGGCATCAGCTGCTGTTCTAGAGGACGCATGTTTGATTCCCAGCATCCAAATGCCAGCTCGCAACCATCTTTAACTCCAGTTCCAGATCCAATGCCGTTTGCTGGCCTCGGTGGGCAGTGCAAGCCTGTAGGGCACAGGCAGACGTGCAAGCAAGACACCCATACAGAGTTTTAACAGTTGAGAGTAAACCATGAGTCTAGACGTAGTAACTGACAATGGCTGGATCTGACTCATTGGCTCACATTTCACGCTTGTGCTATATAGATCAAATTAACAAGTGACTAAAAACGAAATGACTGACAAAGGCTGCTCCTGGACCATCTGAGACAGTCCAAATACTGACTTGGCTCAAAGAAAATAAAACTGAAAACCCTTGATCTCACCCCCAAGAACCATGCTGCACCCTATCTGAACCTTGAGCTCTCTACCTACCAACCTACTCAAAACCACTACTGAGGATGGTGCCCTACTGCTAAGAAATAAACAACACACCGGGCCTTTCGGGTCACCTAAATAGTAGTCAAGATGGGACCACGCACTGTGCGGTTGACAATCAGCTCAGTGAATGAAGGTCCTGGGTTTGGTCCAGGCGTGGGGTTGTGGAGCGGACCTTTGAAAGACTGTTTCGGACCTCCCTGATATGGACTTATCTTACACCAGCTGAGGAAAAGATCATATGCTCTTGCCCTTCGATGGGGCCCATTTTCTAAAGCAAAGTTACTTCCGAGTCAATTTGCATAAGGGGGTGTCCCTCTACATCATCTCACACCCTCAGCTGAAAACTAAAGGTTCAGCTTTTCTCCACGTGGGAAGGTCTGGGAGCACCCTTTCGGGGCACTGAATGCTCTTCGAGATCTTGGTTTTGTGTGACGCTTTGACAGATCCGGCAACGCCAGTTTTATGTCAGACCAGGGAGTTCCCGAGCTGGGCCCTCGCTCTTAGGAAAGTCTCACAAACTTCTCCCTTCTTCAGCTCCCCAGACGATGGCACCCTCGGGCTACTCGGCGCCAGCACGGTCCTAGGGACCCACTGTGTTCTCCCATCGGTTTCTTCAACCCCTCGTCTGAGGAAATCTTGAGCTCGTTTCCTCTACCCGCTCTTCACACGGCCGTGCCGAGGAGAGCTAGAGCGCAGGAACATGGCACCCCAGGCGAGGTGCTAAACGCTCGGCGGCGGCAGCGCTCTGCGACTGCGCAGGCGCCGGGAGGCGGGGCTCCCCTTCCGCGCGCTCGCCCCGCCCCTCGCGCCGAGCCGGAACACGCAGGCGCTCTCGGGCGCAGCCGCCCCCGTGGTAGCCACGGACCGGTAGGGGGAAATGCCCTCGGCGGTTTGCTTCGCTCTGTAGAGGAGCGATGGGGAGGCGTTGGGCCCGGCCTGAGGTAGGAGGAAGCCCAGCTGTCTCCGCTAGTGCCTGAGCCGTGATGCGCGCCTGGGCCCTCTTCTCCGCGGTGCTCTGGTCTCTCGTAGGAGGTGGGGCTTGGCCCGCAGGCTCCTCCCACGTCCCACCTCTTCCGCGCCTCCCTTCGCCTGCTCCCTGCGGAACCCTGGGTCCTCTAAACACTAATAACTCAGAGGTTTTCTTTCCTCCGCAGTTGGAACGCAACGTTCTTCCTTATTCAGTAAGAAAGGCTTTGTGTACGGCACGATAGAACAGCCAGGTAATAAGTGCCTCTTCCCACGCAAGGCCTGTCCCCAGAGCTGGGGATGCCGTGCACCTGCTTAGGTTCTGCCCTGGAGGGGAAAGGGAGCGAGCCGGTGTGACGTCTGCTCTGAATTCTGCAGTTTCGGGAGTTTGCAACATTTCGTCCTCAAAGCAACGCTAGTCTTATGTCCCAGTCTCCATCGTAGTTCTGGGGATCTAATCACCTCTCTTCCAAATACTCCTGCTTTGTAACGGGGAAAACCACTTAGCAGGGTGGACGTCCTTCTGGAAGGCTCTTCTCTCCTTGTGTATCAACCAGCGCTACTCATCAAGCTCCTGCTCCAGTGTTACCCTTTGTAGTTTAACTTTCCTACACTCTTCAGGAAACATTAGTGAGCCAGCTATTTTGCGATAACTTTGAGCCACTTCACTGTGTTGTGTATAGACCATTTCTACATTTAAGGCCTTTCCCTTCCCAACACCACAACTACACCGAATTGTACGATAGCCTTTATAGATTCAGACCCTGGCAATGATTGGGCCTGAAATATCTCGAGATCACGTACTGTCGCAGCTTCCACCAACTGAGTCAGTGAAGATCTCGACAGAACACCTTCCTCGTCGTGGGACAACAGGAAGCGCAAGGAAAATACCAAATTTTCAGTTTTGAAATAGTTTATCAGTCAAGCTCATATCCTCTGAACATTAACTCCACGATCCCTTCAAACAATTATTGGAGCTATTTATGAATGTGTACGTTGTAAGGCACTTACATTTTAATGGATTATCACAGAATATATAAATATATTGTTCATATATTTTTATATATATTATAAATAATATACACAATTTATATATCCCGACAAGGTATGGTTTAAAGGCTTACCATGAGAAGCAAAAATGACTTCATTCTGAATGACAACTAGCATCCAACATGTTCTGACCACTTTTTAAGTACTGAAATCCAGAAAGAATTAATTGGTATTATTGGGACAAATAAATAGGAGTGTGTTTCTTTTGTGGTATAATATAGTTACTGCAAAAATTTGTTTTGTCACAGTGAAAATATACGTAAAGTTACATCATAAAAGCCCTGTCCTTATTTGTATGGATATTAATCGTGCTAATAAAGAAATAGTGGACCCCGCCTACTTATGGATTGGGCCAAATGAAAACAAATTACAAGGTAAATTATTTTAATATATTTTAATGATGTGAACATTGTTTTTAAAAGTGCTGTCATTGTTGAAAAGAACAAATTCTAAACATTTATCAAATTTATTTTTATGTGTATTTTTTTTTTGCCTGCATGCATGAATGTACACTACATGCATGCCTGATGCCCTCGAAGCTCAGAAGAGGGTATTGGATCCCATGGAACTAGAGTTTACTAATGGTTGTGAACCACCATGTAGATGGCTGGGAATAGAAGCCAGGTTCTCTGAAATAAATGCTCTTGAACACTTTCCAGCTCCAATAAATTTAATTTTAACTATAATTAAATTTGCTCAACATTTAGGTAAGTTGTTATTTTTTTGACTCTATGACTTAAGTTCTTCCTATGCAAAAACTAAAGCAGATCCAAAGGATGGCACAGGCCTGTGAGCAAAACACTCAAGAGGCTGAGACAGGAGGATTACAAGTTTGAAGGTAGCCTGAACTAACCAAAGAGATAGTTTTTTATTATTTTTTTTCCTAGTGCTTGGAATTGAGTCCAGAGTCAGCCTCTTAGGCGCTCTTCCACTGAGCTGTCCTGCTATGCTCAGGCAGTGATTTTGTGCCCCACTTCCCAAAGCTATTCAACAGTTTTCATAAGCACTGAGGTTTACCCATGAAACGCCAGTGATATGAGAGATTCAGTATGTAATTTTTCATCTTAGAAGGATACCTTAGGATATCAGCATTATTCATTTGTCTTATGTAAATATATATGTATACATACATATATAAATTTACTGAATTACTGACGTGAATCTGTCAAAACTAGATACCAAGAAATAAATTAACAAAGATTTCAAAAGAGTACCCAGCTTATGTAGCGTTTCCATAGAGTAATATGACAATTAAGGGTTTTTTTTTTCTGGGTTACTGGGTGTGGTGGCACACTCCCTTAATTCCAGCACTCAGAAGGCAGAGGCAGGCAGATCTCTAAGTTCAAGGCCAGTCAGGGGCTATACAGTGAGACCCTGTTTTAATTTTTTATTGGGTTCTTGAAGTTGAAATAGTTAATTTTATTTTTTGGCATGTTTGTTTACAGTCCTGAGTTTACTGAATAATGATTAAGTTACCTGTTAAATAACCAAGTAATTTCCTCTTTCTGATTAGGGAATCGCCAAATAAATATAACAAACACAGGAAAACTGGTGGTGAAAGATTTTATAGAGTCATTATCTGGACTTTACACGTGTACTCTTTCCTATAAGACTATCAAAGCAGAAACCCAAGAGGAAACTACAATAAAGAAGAGATATGACTTTATGATCTTTGGTAATAATATATTTAATTATAATATGATAATTGTATAAGCACATGAGCCATCTCCCCAGTTCCCCAGAAACATTCTTACATTTTAAGATTTATTATGTATATTGTATGTGTGGGTTACGTGCCTGTGAGTGCAGGGACCGGCAGAGTCGCAGAGAGAGAGAGAGCGGGCATGTGCCGGCCTGGAGATGGAGTTATAAGCAGGTAGGAGCCATCTGCTGTGGGTGCTGACCCCTCAGCTCTTAACTATTGAGCTGTGTCTCCAGCTCCAATGTGTTCTCGATACTCTTAACTTGCCCGTATTGCCACCCCACAGAGGCCAGTTGTCCTAAGTAGGTAGATACCAGATGACAATGACTTTTTTCATTAAAATTATTAGTTATATGTATTTTGTAAACAGACTTATGGAGTATTCTATTAGATAAGTAAAATTCCTAAGCTGACTTGAAAGATTAATGATGTTTGATATTACATGTTTTTGATTTTTTTTTTAATAGCAGAGATTAACGCAAGGCACAATTGTTTTTCTTCTCACCTTTTCCCAAAGCCTATCGGGAGCCTGATTATTCTTATCATATGGCTGTGCGTTTTACCACGAAATCGTGTGTAGGAAGATATAATGACCTGCTCTTTCGAGTGCTGAAGAAAATCCTGGATAATTTAATCTCTGATTTGTTGTGCCATGTCATAGAACCATCATACAAGTGCCATTCTGTTAAAATTCCGGAGGGCGACTTCGTGTATGAGCTATTCATAGCCTTTCAAGGTGAAACAGTTTTACATTGATTGTATAACTTTAGTCGAAAACCATGATAAGATTGTAAAATTAACTGTCATGTAAATGCGAGAGGTCTCATAAATGACAGGTTTGAAATGTTTGCTAATCACTAATATACACTAATGGCTGCTTGTGCTTTAAACGTCAGCAGACCAGCTGTTTGCCTCCAAATACAGTATTTATGGTTTTAAGTCAGTATCATTTTATTAACATAACCTTTAACTATGCAATTTTAGGAAAGACATTTTATTGTTTTTTATTCTTGATGACTTGAGAGGGAATACCCAAACCCAATCTATTTCCATTCTCATCTTGTAGTTACTCCCACTAGCCCCCAGATGGAGTAAAGTCACAGTGCATGCTATTCAAACTGTGTGCCTAACCTTACTATTCTGGTTAGAGCTGGCTTTAACGCACATATGTCTGCATACCAACCAAAGCATGTGGGGCTTTACTGGAGTGTGTGACACTCTTTAGAAGCTGGTGTGTACCTGTCCTGTTTTTCTCTCCAGTGAATCCTTTTGCACCAGGCTGGAAAAGTGTGTGCAACAACTCTTCCGACTGTGAAGATGCCACTAACCGCAACATCCTCAAGGTGAGCCCACATCCTGATGGGAAAGCCCTTGAGTGACCTAGAAAGATTTTGGTAAATGCTTTGTCTTATTAGTAGGAGTTCAAGTCCAGTCTGGGCTACATGAAAACCTATGTCAAAAGAAAAACATTCTTAAAGAATCCATCTCAGGATGTCCTCTGACTTCCACATGCAAACCATGGTATGCACGCACCCACATATGCATATGTGGTACTCATTTGCACACAATACATGTATACATATACACACATATGAAACACAACACTACTGCTCAAGTTTTTTTTGTTGTTGTTGTTGTTGTTTGTTTGGTTTGGTTTGGTTTTGGTTTTTCAAGACAGGGTTTCTCTGTAGCTTTGGTGCCTGTCCTGGAACTTGCTCTGTAGACCAGCCTGGCCTCAAACTCACAGAGATCTACCTGCCTCTGCCTCCCGAGTGCTGGGATTAAAGGCGTGTGCCTGCTCAAGCTTTTTAAAGAATGATTTAAATTTATTCCTTCTAAATTTTTAAAATTATGTTTGTGACCCAGTGGTGGTGGTATGCACTTTAATCCCAGCACTCAGAAGACAGAGGCAGGCAGGCTGCAGAGTTGAGTTCCAGGACAGCCAGGTCTACACAGGGAAGCCTTGTCTTGAAAACAAGAACAGCCAAAAAGTGTCTTCATTCTGTCGTGTTCCCTATACCTATAGTGTACTTATAGTGTGATCTAAGAAGTCCTCTTTTAGGCTTAGTCATTATTACAACATGTCCCAGAGCCAGAATCACACAATTAGTTGTAATGCTAATTAAAGCCTTGATTTCTATTTTGCTTTGATCTTTTAAAATTTTATTTGTGTATTTTGTGTACATTAGTTTTGGCCTGCATGTATGTGTGTGTGTCATATACATGCCTAGTGCCTGAGAAGGCCAGGGAAAGTCGTAGGATCATCTGGAATTGGAGTTACAGGCAGTTGTGAACTGCCATGTGGATGCTACGAATTGAACCTAGATCCCCTGGAAGAACATACCCTTAACTGCTGTGCCATCTCTCCATCGTGACTTAGAAAGTTAGAGATCATGCTTAATTTATGTATGAAAAAACTATTATAAATAAATCAAAGCAAGCCTGTGTGTGTGTGTGTGTGTGTGTGCGTGCGTGTATGTGTGTGTGTAAGTCCATGGGGCGTGTGTAGGCTACAGTACCACTTTTCTGTCAATCTCAGGAACACTCTCCTCCTTTGAGACAGGGTCTCTTCTTAGTTAGGCTAGACTGTCTGTCTAGCACACCCCAGGAATTCTCCTGCCTCCACCTCCCCAGCACTGGGATTACAGGCAAGGGAAGTGCTTGGCCACCTGAGCCATTCCTAAAACAAGTTTTTATAACTGTTTTCCTTAACCACTTCCTGTATAAATTAACGGTAATTAGTGAAGTCAAAGCAAGATTCACTCTAGGTTTTAACATAGATTTTTCAGGATTTCATTTAATGCATGAGCAAGAAATATTTCTGCTACATTTTATGGCCTGTGATTCATGAGGACTTTGATTATTGAATTAGTAATTGTAGTTTTCTCTGGTATTTCTAAATCTCAGGCAAGAGATCGGATAGAAGAGTTTTTCCGGAGCCAGGCATACATTTTGCACCATCACGTTAATAAAAGTATACCAGCGATGCACTTTGTGGACCACAGTTTTCAAGTAGTGCGCGTAGATAACTGTCGGCCAGGCTTTGGGAAGAACGAAGGTCTGCACACCAATTGTGCTAGCTGTTGCGGTAATTATACAATATAAATTCCTAAATGTCTGTATGTTCCAGAGAAAAGGTGGACAACCCACAAGGGTTATTGAACTGGATCTTCTCATTGATCCTTTCATAGAAAAGAGAAGTAAAAAACCTTGAAAGCCCACATTTCTAAATCCCAATGCATATTTTTTGTACTGTTGTCTCTTAGTTGGCAAAGCATTTCCATAGTGTTCTGACATACAATACAGTTCTGTGCAGGACAGCCGAATGGTCCTGCCTGGGAAGCACAAAGCTAGGACACGAGGTACAAACTGCAGGCAGGCACTTATAAATGAGGCACTGAGACGGCAAAGACTGATAAAAACACAGTATTTATAGACTCTTGCCTGTAACAGGCTTTCTGAGACCACCAGCCCCCAAATGATGACGCGCAGACTTATCGTTAGTTATGAGAACTCAGCCTTATCTGATGCTCGTCCCATGACCTCTTTTAACTTATTATAACCTGTTTCTCTTCATCTATGGTTTTGCCTCAGGGCTTTTTACCTTTCTTTCATTCTGTGTGTCCTACTCCATGTCTGACTGGCTGGAGACTGCCCGGCTGGCTGGTCCCAGGCGTCTTCTTTCTCCCTCGGTCTCTTCTTTTATTCTCTCCAGAGCCTGGATTCCTCCTCCTACTTATTCTCTCTGCCCACCAACTCCACCTATCCCTCTACTGCCTAGCTATTGGCCATTCAGCTTTTTATTATACCAATCAGATGCCTTAGACAGGCAGAGCAATATAGCTTTACATTGTTAAACAAATGCAGCATAAACAAATGTAACACACCTTTACATAGTTAAGGTAACATTCTGCAACATAAACAAGTGTAACACACCTTTACATAGTTAAAGTAACATTCTGCAACATAAATATAACACATAATCAAAGTAATATTCCACAACACTCCCATTTTTAAGATTATCACATTACAAAATTTGAGGTAATCTTCACAACTTAATTGGCTAAATAGGGATAGGTATCCTATATAAAAAGGTGTAATATTGAAAATGCTTTTGTATTGTTGATATGTGAACTATAGTGACTGACGGACGGCCTGCATTTTCTCTTGCAGTGGTCTGTAGTCCTGGTACATTCAGTCCTGATGCCGATGTCACCTGTCAGATCTGTGTTTCTGTCCATACCTACGGAGCTAAGTCTTGCCCATAAACTTCAAGCCCAGAGATGAAAGCGTGGTTACTTGCCTCTGAAGGTGGAGACAGATTTGTTCCCATCTGAGAGCATCATAGACGCCTCCATACAGTAAGATCAGTAAGAGCAAGACTCTGGGAACGTGCGTTTAGAACAACAGAAGAGCGCTGACGTGGCACCGCTAAGAAGGGTTTGATTCAGTACCGCCTGTGTGCGAGAGGAAGTTAGTGTTAGTGGATGCTTGAAATGAAATATGTTCTGTTGTCTATAAACTAAAACGTACTTTGTACCTGGTATTAAGGTCAAAAAGAGAAGTGAAGTATAATAAAACATTTCTATTTTCCATATATTAATTTGTTTGAAATTACTTCTATCAAGACATGTATAATACATATTTTAATTTTGTTTTTTAATGCCAGGCAGTGATGGAGCACGTCTTTAATACCAGCACTCTGGAGGCAGAGGCAGGTGGATCTGTGAGTTAGAGACCAGCCTGGAATACAGAGCTGGTTCCAGGAGGGAGGGAGGGAGAGGAGAGAGATGAGGAGAGAGAGCTCTGAAAATCTAAAAATCTCAGTTTGAGCTCTTCCCTCTTACCAGCCTCATTTTTCTGCCTCCTGGACAAACTACATTCATTCCTCATGTGTAGAACCCCTCCCTCTCTTTCCTCCTCCCCTCCCTTCATCCCTTCCTTCCTTTCCTTTGTGTGTATGTGTTTTGGAGACACCAGCCTACTCTTAGCCCATGCTAGCCTTGAAGTCCTTGTTGTTGCTGCCTGGGCCTTCTGGTTGCTGAGGTTACAGTCACAGCCACCACACCCGCTCTCCCTTCTGCTCTTCGCGCGTTGACTTAGAATCATGCGTCCACCCATCGCTTTCTTCCTTGTCCCCCTCCCATTGCTGATTTTATCAAGCATCACACTCTTTTATACTTTAAAGCTTCATCCTTGTAAAATGTAATAAACATCGTCACTGGCTGTGGTAGTCCACACCTGTAATCCCAGCACTCGAGAGGCACAGGCAGGAAGGTTGCAGCGAGGCTGAGGCCAATTTGGGCTACACAGCGAGTTGCAGGCCAGCCTGTGATTCCTGTAATTCCTATTACTCGACTTTACCTACTTAAACATGACCTTGGCAATCTTTACTTTGTCTCTTGTGATGTTATATGATCTTTTGAGATATGGTCTTCTGTAGCCAAAGCTAGCTTCGACTTGTTACTAAAGATAACTTTGATTTCCTAAGCCTCTTTTCCTCTATCTCTCAAGTCCTGGGGTTGCAGGCCTGAATCTACCTACTTAGAGAGTTATAATGAATTAAATTAGCTACTGAGTCTGCATCTAGAAGTCAACTTTTGGTTCCCTTGCTCACTATTATTTTGAGCTTTGAAATTGTTTCCTGGTGGCTTACTGGGTCACACTCCCCCACCCATAACACCCTAATCCAAAATAACCCATATAGATATAATACAGCAAAATAGGAAGGGCGTGTTGGATGGTAAAACAGAAATTAAGTTCAGTGACTGTCCAGGTCCTGAAATGGCAACAAAGTTACATCTTCACATTATTCAATAAAAACAAATACTGTCACTTCATCCTCACAGTGTAGTGTTGGGAAAGTCCCAGCCCTCTTTCATCTTGAGTCTATCATAGAAGTCAAATGTCACCTAACTGTTATCTACCAAATATCACGGTTAAATGTTTTGTGCTTTGTACTACTACAAGGGTATTTTCCAACATTAGTAGATTATTAATGAGGAACATTTGGATCCCATTTGTTTGGTCTAATATCCATCTGACTTCTGCAGTGTGGAAAGGCTTCAGTTTTAAATGTGAGAGTCTTGCCTTTCTGACTTGTGGGTGCTTTTGCTTGAAACTGTTAGTGCATTTACTGTATAGTTCAAATAATATACTTTAGTAATAATTCTCCAGCCATATGCAAAATACCATTGAAGTAAAAGAAAATTACTGATCATACAAACTTTGAAGAACAACATTTCAGGCTAGAGAGATAGCTCAACTGCTCTTGGAGAGGACCCCTGTTCAAGTCCCAGCACCCACATGGTAGCGCACAGCCATCCTTAATTCCAGTTTCAGGAAGTGATGGACAGCATGGTGGTCTGCATAATGCCAGCCCATATCAAGCTCCTATAACCAGGACTGGAGGTGCCTAGTAACCTAAATGACCCTTACAGCCAGGGGCTCCCCAGGCTCCCACAACCTAATAGTCTAAACGATCCTTACATTATCTGTGTAGCCAGGGGCTCCCCCAGGCTCTCACAACAGGATCAGAGATGGCTAACAGCTCAAATGACCTCTATATCATCTGTACGGCCAATACCAAGCCAGATCCTGCCCTAGGCCCTTAAGTTAGTATACACAGGTAGCCTATCTGGTAGCCTATCTCCATCTTCTTGAAAGAAATGGCATATACCTGAGTTGATTTTGATGTAATTATGCTTTCTTGTGCAATGAGGATTATATTACACAAGGAACCTTTTTTCCCCCAAATTATGCTGTTTCAATATACTGGCAATACTGCCTGGTATCAGACTTTCTGAAGTCTTGTATTTTTATTTATTTATTTTGTTTTATGTGTATTGGTTTTTTGCTTGCACGTATGTCTGTGTAAGGGTGTGCAATCCCTTGGAACTGGAGTTATAGACAGTTGTGAGCTGCCATGTGGGTGCTGAGAATTGAACCCAGGTCCTCTGGAAGAGCAGCCAGTGTTCTTAACCTCCGAGCCATTTTTCCAGCCCCCTCCCTGAAGTCTTAATCCAGGTTGATGAAGTCAGTCTGAACTAAGTTTTCATCTCACCTCTTCACGACAGGTTATTTCCATGATGAAACCCCATGACCAAGAGCAACTTGAGGAGGAAAGGGTTTATTTCACTCACAGTTCCATGTAATAGTTCATCATTAAAAGAATCAAAAGCAGGGCAGGAACCTGGAGGCAGAAGCTGATGCAGAGGCCACGGAGGGCTGCTGCTTACTGGCTTGCTCCGGTTGTTTGCTCAGCCTGCTTTCTTTTTTTTTTAAATATTTATTTATATACTTATTATGTATTCAACATTCTGTTTGTGTGTATGCCTGCAGGCCAGAAGAGGGCACCAGACCTCATTCCAGATGGTTGTGAGCCACCATGTGGTTGCTGGGAATTGAACTCAGGGACCTTTGGAAGAGCAGGCAATGCTCTTAACCACTGAGCCATCTCTCCAGCCCCTTGGCCTGCTTTCTTATAGAACCCATTACCACCAGCCCACAATGGGCTGAGCCCTGCCATAGCAATCACTGGTTAAGGAAATGCCCTACAGACTTGCCTACAGCCTGATCTTAGGGCGGCATTTTCTCAGCTGAGACTCCCTCCTCTCCGATGACTCTAGCTTGTGTCAAGTTGTCCTAAAGCGAGCCAGCACATCCAGTAAACACTGAGCTACCTACCGTCAAAGTAAAGGCAACTCTTCTATGTATAAACCAAACTCATATTCAAGTTGGTTGTACCAGCTTGCATTGCATGAAAGTTCTTGCGGGCCCCTGACTTAGGGGCTGCCAGTCTGTGGTGGTAGGGAAGGTGGAGCAGTTGGGGTAGCCCCACCCACGGCAGCAGAAGTTTGCTAAGTGACCTGTGTACATCTTGTGGGATCTGGAAGCAGAGCTAAGCTGTCGCCCTGAAGACCTACCCTGTGTGACCTGTGTCAGGACCTAGGCCCTCCATCCCAGTACTTCTACAACCTCCAAAACAATGCTTCCAACTGGAGGAGGTTTCCAAACACATGAACGTACGGGACATTTTACATAGACACTGTAAAAATAGTGCTGTTGAAATCACTCACCTCTTTCTCTGTGGTTCATTCTTTTGTTACCGAATGGTTCGAGCCCCTTCACGTCCCGGATGGCGGTCTCCAAAAGGTGCCTCTGTTTGAGTAGCGTCTCTCACTCTGTGCTGCCTCTACCCAACTTGTGATATATTTTCGATGAAACTGAAGTTTTGATGTTACTGTAATTACAGTTTGGCCTTTTACAGGTTGAATCAGAGTGCTTCTGGAGTGAATACTGTGTAAAGGGCTGGGCTTTCAACAATTCCTCTGGGGTTGTCCCATTGTCCTGGCACTAGCCTTTCCCACTAATTCTTGGTCATTACTCTCTCATGTATCAGATGTCCTTGTACACATGGGATCCATTCCGGAGGCATCTCATCTGCTTTTGTTTTTGTCTACAGCAGCTCCAACATCACACTGAAGTGTTACAGGTTTTATAATCAGTCTTTAATCTAGGGGAACAAGTTTTTCTACCTTGTTCTTTTTGAAGAATATTGTGGCTGGGGTTGGAGGGATGACTCAGCTGTTATGAGCACTTACTGCTCTTGCAGAAGACCTGGGTTTGGTTCAAAGTACCCACATCAGGCAGCCCACAACCTCCTGTAACACCGGTACCAGGGAATGCAACACCCTCTTCTGGCCTCCTTAGGTACTGCACGCACATGATGCACCTGAGCTCATGCAGGCACGCACACACACACACACACACACACACACACACACACAAATAAAAGTAAATCAATAAATAAGCAGTATTCTTTTTTAATATTGTGGCTGGTTTTAATCCTTTGCATTTTCAGACCAGACAGGCAACCGTTGGGATTGTACTGATCTGAAGTTACTGTGAGAAAAGTCAATATTTTCACGATATTGTGTCTTCTAATTCTTCTGTATTGTATTTATCTTTTGTTTAATCTTCTCTAAGATCTCTCATATTAACAAGGGAGTAGAGCCCTCTTATACCCTTTGCCTAATACTTTCCGAAGTATTTCATATTGTACAAATTTCATTTTGCATTTATTGGTGTTCTGTCTAGGAAATATTGATTGTATCAAAATACTGTCTTTTCTTTTCATAATTCGTCTGTAAATCTGCAGTTTTGATGCATATATTTGATCATCTCGTCGCAGTACGGTGCTCTCTTCTGCCTTCTCCTTTCACGAGTCTCACCTGCCTGGCCTCTTGCCCTTGCTGTCCTGGTCTTGCTGGCTCTCCTGTACAGTGTGAGGAGGAGCCAGTGTGAGTGTGCATGCTCATCCTGCCAGACCCAGAGAGAACGCACATAAACATTTCCTCTGTGGTGGCTTAGCTTACTGTGTGTTTCCGTGTACTCTGATCGGGTTAAAGCAGTACCTGTGTGTTCCTGGTCTTCTAGGAAATGAGTACATACTGAATTTTACAGAGTGCTTTTTCATTTCCATTGAAACAATCACATCATTTTCCTTCTTAAATTTCTTTCCTTGGTTTATTTTGTTTGTTTGGAGACAGAGTCTCTCCGTGTAGCCCCAGCTGGCCTGGTATTTGC